TAGTATAGTTTTACGTACGTATATATATATATATATATATATATATATGTATGTATATATACATATACATATACATATACATATTGATATAAATATAGATATGTTATTCTAACTCAAAGGACTTACAGGGCGAACAAGGTCTACACGATTCCGATTTCCAACCCATCGTCTGCCAGGAATTTGCGTTAAAGTTTCCCATCACACATCCTCCTTAATTCAAACCGGATGCCATTTATGGGCACAGCATGCATACACTGACGCACATCAATGCCTGCTCTATGTTTCTTTATTCCGGGACATACAGAGTGGACAGGGCCATGCGCAACCCCACATCCTTTGAGTCTATGCAGAGGAGTATCACATATATACATTTTGGACTAACTCTCCCTCCCACGCATCCTACCTCGTTCATACGATCCGCCGTCTTCTAATAGTACATCTCCTAATAGTCCATCTTTTTAATAGTCCGTCTTCTAATAGTCCATCTTTTTAATAGTCCGTCTTCTAATAGTCCATATGTACACCTACACCCATTCACATTGTACCGTCTTTATGTTTTCTTCTCCAGAGGTCATACAGAGTGGCCAAGGCTTTGTGCACAACTCGCTGTTCTTCGAGAATGTACACAAGAGTGTCCTGCGTGCACCGTTCGTCATGCCACTGCGCATCAAACTGCCCTACCACACAACCTTCAAGAATCTCTTGGCCTACGCACAGGTGTGTAAGGAATCGCTAGTGGTCCTATGTATGAATGGGAGAATTGGTACGATTTGTTTGTTCGTTTGTGAGTGCGGACAATGTTAATAGGCTCGTGTTTCAGCCGAGGCATACATGTACTACGCTAACATGCGAGTTGCTAAAAATAAGACAGTTCGGACTCGGTATGTAGGTACGCTTACTTATGTGGGGGCATATCGGCTGTAAAGTACATACATGCACCCTCGTTTGCACACATGTCATGATAATAAAACCTCTTGTGCAAGTGGATACCCTCTTACCAAGACACATGTATATGCCTGTGTGTGCAATACTGGGGTTTTTAAGCTGAGATAGTGTACTATTCATCAATGTATATCTGAGCTTCATTCGAGGCGATGATCCTATACATGCCTGGTTCATTCCTGTATCCACACAACAACAAATGTACTACTAATCGGTCCTCCATACACTTAACAGGCATATGCGGCTTATGAGACGTACGGTGGAGTATGGAATCTCGGCCGATTCCTGATGTATAACGTGCTGGGATAGCCAAGTGTGCTGGGATCAGAAATATATTAATAAACACGCGTGTAAACTTCGCAGATACGGTTCACTCCACTACCAAGTGCCAAGTCCGCGCGTTATAAATAGAAGAAAAAAGTACTGGATTATAAGTATTAAACGTTATGATGCGTATGCAGGCAGAATACCTGTATGGGTAGTATAGGCATGCAGGATACCTTTATCGATGGAATATGCTTGCACAACACCTGTATCCATAGTATATTTGGCTAGGTACCTATCTCTATCAACACAGGCGTGTTTATATATAAACAAAGCACACATGTTGTAGTTTGAAGGACTGGAATCTCATTTGCACACCCACTTTCGACTATGTATGAACTGGGAGATATATACCCTAGTCTGGGAAGCTGAATATGCCATAGACTGGCATGAGACAGCCCCGTAAGTTTAGATAGCAACCGACCTGACAGAGCAGGGAGAGAGAGAGGTATAAGGACATAGCAGCCAGGACTAAAGCAAGAGTTTATAATGTATTTGCCTCGCTATCTAGTAGCTGCATATATCTCCGAAGACACATATGTGTTCATATATCCATCTGTTAATACGGTTGTGCGTGTGAATGTAGATATTGAGTTATACTTATGGCTAAAAAAATTATCAATATATACATTGAAGAGAATGGCTCAGCTCCTCATAACTGCGCACGACTATATCCGATTGTTATCCACTTCAGCGCTGCAATGGCGTCAATGCATTGGCGAGGGGAAATCGCCAGTAATATAAATAAATATCCTCCCTGGTATGTTTTGTGATACTTTACTTTTAGCTTTTTGGTGTTTATTTTCGAAATCCCTAAACCCTAAACCTATATTTAGTATGTAGAGCGGTTTTTCATAGCCCTGTAGATTGAACAGGTTTTTGCTCGTTTTTCTGTCAAATAAATCCTGAAACCTAATTGCCCAAGCACGCCCTATTTATTTTTTCAAAAATACATGTTTGAACCCAAAAAAAAAAAAGAGTCGATGACGCAGATGATATCCTAATATGGTTGTTGGAATGTGTCTCGTTTCGTTAAAAATCGACGTCATGGCGATTCATCAAACCCCGCGAAATTTTTATACATCATTTATTTTATGTTTATTAACACGTCCTATGGGCTATGGCTTTCATCTTGTTGAGTTTTAGACAGCTCCGTTTGTAGGGTGTATGAGGTTTAGGCTCTTACGCCGCGAGGGCATATATACATAGAAGCTACCGTATGAAAGTTGATTATTCAAAGCACACCGTCACTTTTAATAAGGATAAGCAGCTCTGTTCAAGCCAAGTGGCCCCTTATAAAAGTTGGTTACGTATGACAACAATACATTAATTGATTTTGTCATGCATACTCTATATACATTTAAAGGGTATTTATGAATGATTGTGCGACACCTTTGCCGCGAGGGCATATATACATTGAACCTACAGTAACAATAGTTGACTATTCCAAGCACGGTATCGCGTACACTTTACGATAAGGAGACACAGTCCCGTTTAGCCAAGTGGCATTGTTCAGAAAGTAATTTTAATGCGTACGGCAGGTGTTAAACAAATCATGTACTGTGGGCCGATATATAACTCACTCAGACAAATAGTCACGGAAGTGAATGATCGATGGTGATTGTGTGGGCATATGATCTTTGAAAATCTGATCAAGTACACAGTAACTATACAATTCTCAGGTTTCAATGGCTAAACATGGAATTTGGATATCTATATTAAACAGTGAATGATTCACGATCACCTACAACACGCCTATAGGATTACAAAGCATTGGTTTTTTGGTATATATATCAAGTACCCTGAGTAGAAAAGTGAAAACAATAAATCTCTATAACCAAGTTCAACATTTTCAATCACAAAAAGGGAAAACATCATTAAATCTGTACTAGTAGACCAGCCGACTAGAATTGTCTACATATATTTACACACATATATGTGTGTATGCATATATATGTATGTATGTATGTATGTATGTAT